TTAAATGAAAATTGTACGTGATAATTGCGCTGTCTGCAAATTATACGTGACAATTCTACCCCTATGAACAAAGATCATGTAGTATATAAACCCCAGTTTTTCTATTGCAAAATGTCAATTGTTCAGACGAGTTTCTGCCCGAATGGTGTCTTAAATTCGGCCCTTCGATTTCGTAATTGTTTATCACTCATTGCTGTTAATCGTGACTTTCGTGAACTTCTTAATTTCTTATTATTATTTAAAAGTTCATATTTTCATTGTATTTCTAAAACAACATTTTAGTGTGAATTTAAACAATTCTTAATTGTCGTAATATTCAAATTATGAAGGTGTAATAAAGACGAACTGTATCATTAATAATTACGACGCATCCAGAGACTCACTTCTGTAATCCTGGTTGCAGCTTGTTACATTACTGTATCGTCGCATCAATTGTAAGTAATTTTATAATTAACAAATGTTTATAATAAATTGTCAGTCATAAAAAGGAATATCTCTCTTAAATTATTTAACACAAAACCCTTAGTTTTGAGGAAGTGACGCGATCCTACATTAAAAATAAATATCAGGCTTTACCAACCTGATTAATCAGCAACTTATCTCCCTTTTATTATTATAAATAATAAATAAACTCTACCTTAGCTCGGGACGTGACAATAAACGGTGGCGTGATAGATTATCGAAAATTGAATGAAAAAACTATCGGAGACTCGTATCCTCTTCCAAATATCATAGATATTCTAAATCAATTAGGAGGTGCAAAATACTTTACAGTTCTAGATTTGGCACAAGGATTCCACCAGGTAGAAGTAGCACCCGAAGATAGACGTAAAACAGCGTTTTCGACGCCCTATCGACATTACGAATTCAAGAGGATGCCCTTTGGTTTGAAAAACAGCCCTTCTACTTTTCAAAGAATGATGGATCATGTTTTATCAGGAATGCAAGGCATTGAACTATTCGTTTATATGGACGACATAGTAATTTATGCTAATTCACTAAAAGAACATAAAGAGAAGTTTGAAAAACTATTAGGAAGACTTAAAACAACAGGATTAGTTTTGGAACCAGACAAATGTAAATTTTTATGTAAAGTGTTGTAGAAATATTGAAAACTCAACATCTGCACGAAATATGTTTGGTACAATTTAGTTGTAAAGTAATTGTAAGGGATTGTTTATTTACACCACATATCAATTTGATACAAAGCGTCGACTTCTGGTTTTCTTCAATTGCTTTAATTTACCTTATTATAAAAATAAAAATAAATGGAATACAACATTATTATAATAGAGGTGATCCTCCATACTTTATTTCCCATGAAGAATGGGTTTCGAGAAACTTTCCATTTTTATTGTTGCCACCAGTAAGTAACTCAGTTCAATAATGAAGATTACCTTGGAAATAATTATTTTCTTAATATATTACTTTTTTATGTATATAAATATGGGTCATTCCACGTGAAAAGGCAAATGGATTTGTCCACTCGTGGTTTAATGCAATCGCAAAGTCTTAGGGCTTAAAATTTAACATTTTTTATGTAGAATCGAATACCGAGTGGCTGATTTTAAAATTTTCAAAATGGCGGCCACCACAGGCTGGAATGTGGCGTAAAAAAAGCTTTTTTTTTAATTTAAATTGGAAAAACTTTTACATTTTAAGACCAAAATTATTCAAAACAACTACTTTTCATATTTGTGAGTTGACAGAACACAAACATATGGTGAGAACTAAAAAATCCAAAATGGCGGAATCAAGATGGCGGATTAATTTTTGAAAATTCAATAAATTCAACTGAATTCAGTTGAATGGTGTTACTTGGGGGTTTTCGGGGTCGCTGATTACAAATCTGATGTCAGAATTGAAAAATTCAAAATGGCGGATCCAATATGGCGGCCGAAATATAAAAAAATGAGTCAATTCGCTTGAAACGTGTTACTCGGGGGTTTTCGGGGTCGCTGATTACGAATGTGAAATCCATTTTTGAAAATTCAAAATGGCGGATCCAATATGGTGTACGAAAAAATTAAAAATCACTTGAATTGAAACGAAATTCGTTACTCAGGGGTTTTCGGGATCGCTGATTACGAATCTGAAGTCAGAATTAAAAAATTCAAAATGGCGGACCTAATAGGGCGTAAGATTAATAAAAAAACCATTAGAAATGTTTAAAACTTGTTACTCTGGAGATTTTTAAGTTGTAGATCACGATTTTGTCAGCGGAGATTAAAGAAGAAAAATATAAATTAAAAAAAGCGCTGCATACGAATCAAAGGTCGGAATTAAATAATTTTAAAATATAGAATCCTATATGGCGGAAGATTTTTTCAAAAAATGGCTAAGGTCTTTGGCTTAATACTATATTTATCAAAAGAAAAGTCCTGAAAAGGACTGATTAAAATTGGTTTTAATGCTATTTCTCAAAATAAAAGTCCTAAAAAAGAATGATTGAAATTGGTTTTAATGCTATTTATCAAAATAAAAGCCGTGAAAAGGACTGATTGAAATTAGTTTGAATGCTATTTATCAAGATAAAAGTCCTGAAAAGGACAGATTGAAATTGGTTTTAATGCTATTTATCAAAATAAAAGTCCTGAAAAGGACTGATTGAAATTAGTTTTAATGTTATTTGGCAAAAGTAAAGTCCTGAAAAGGACAGATTAAAATTGGTTTTAATGCTATTTATCAAAATAAAAGTCCTGAAAAGGACTGATTGAAATTAGTTTTAATGGTATTTGGCAAAAGTAAAGTCCTGAAAAAGACTGATTAAAATTGGTTTTAATGCTATTTATCAAAATAAAAGTCCTAAAAAGGACTGATTGAAATTAATTTAAAAATTTTAGACTCTGCAAAAGTTTTTAAAATTCTTTAGAATATAGAAAAAAATGTATTAAAAGAGAAGACGAAAATGAAATAAAGATATAAGGAAAAATAAATGAATGAAAAGGAATTAAGTAGATTCTACTGTAAGTATATCGGATCTAGACTGTATTTATTAACGTTGAGAAAAAGTATTTTCTAGTATGGTGATAACTGCACAACCGTAGTCGTAGTGAGATAGTAATCGTAAATAGTTTGATATTCTGTCCGTCCTCTGTAGCTCCGTGTGGAGGGGGCAACTGCATGATGGCGTCGATTAGGGGGGTGATTGGCTCAAGCTATCACGTGAGAATCGCGCAGGCGCACAGTGGTAAGAAATGCAAAGTTTTGTACAAAATTCTGCTGACAATAGAAATCTTGACCATTTTCAATTTTTTTCGAAATACTGAAGAAGGATTTTGCTACAAGCATTTTGCAACATAGCCTCATAAAATTAATTTAATATCTTTTTTTCTAGGTCAGAAATTAAAGAGGGCTTAATGCTCTTTAAGATTTTACCATTGTGAATTTTTATTATAAATTTTTAATAACCAGCGTATATACCCGACCGCATCAGAAAACCATATTTTTAAGAAAGTCCGTTAAAATTCCAAATTGGCGATCCCCAACCTACAAGAAAAAATGTTCATTTTTTTAGTCATTTTTTGAAAAAAGTTTCCGCCATATTGGATACACCATTTTGAATTTTTTATTTCTGACCTTTGATTCATATTCAGCGACCCCAAAAACCATTGAGTAGCAATATTCAGTTTATTTAATCGATTTAAAAAAAATCTTCTGCCATATTGGATCCGCCATTTTGAATTCTGACCTTTGATTCGTATTCAGCGACTTTTTTTATTAATATTTTTCTTCTTTTATCTCTGCTGACAAAATCATGATCTACAACTTAAAAAACTCCAGAATAACAAGTTTTAAACATTTCTAATGGTTTTTTTAATTAATCTTACGCCCTATTAGGTCCGCCATTTTGAATTTTTTTAATTCTGACTTCAGATTCGTAATCAGCGATCCCGAAAACCCCCGAGTAACGAATTTCATTTCAATTTAAGTGATTTTTAATTTTTTCGTACGCCATTTTGGATCCGCCATTTTGAATTTTCAAAAATGGATTTCAGATTCGTAATCAGCGACCCCGAAAACCCCCGAGTAACACCATTCAACTGAATTCAGTTGAATTTATTGAATTTTCAAAAATTAATCCGCCATCTTGATTCCGCCATTTTGGATTTTTTAGTTCTCACCATATGTTTGTGTTCTGTCAACTCACAAATATGAAAAGTAGTTGTTTTGAATAATTTTGGTCTTAAAATGTAAAAGTTTCCACATTCCAGCCTGTGGTGGCCGCCATTTTGAAAATTTTAAAATCAGCCACTCGGTATTCGATTCTACATAAAAAATGCTAAATTTTAAGCCCTAAGACTTTGCGATTGCTTTAAACCACGAGTGGACAAATCCATTTGCCTTTTCACGTGGAATGACCCATATATATAATACATTTTTTTTTAAATAATAAATAAAATTTTCAATCGAAATGTTTTCACATATATCATTGTATATATGTGTGTGTTTATTATTATTATTCTTACCATATATCTATATTTCTAGGCATACATATATATATATATATATATAATATGTTTTCCTTTCTTGACATCTTTTTGATGTCTTCCTTTTTTTCTTTTCTTTCATAGACAAGTTTGGATGACCATGGAGATACAACGATATTTATAAATATTTAAGGTTTTAAGTAAAATTCAGGTGGAAAGGGAAAACCAGGTAATTGAGGTACCTGAGTGCAATTCCGGGTTGAAGGATTTTGTCAGTCGTGCTATTATAGTACTGCGGATACGTTAAACTTTGTACGGCTCACTTAAAGAATTCAGTAAAGAATCTATACATTAAAGTCAATTCTATGTTTGTCAAATTAACATTATAATTGTTCAACAAAGTCTTAATTTATCTGTTACAATTTCTTATCTTTCATCTTATACGTGTTTTACTTCCAAATAATCTATCCAATTTCAACACTTTTTTCCAATGTTATTAAAAATTCATAAAAAAATTGAATAAAAAATTTGTAAAATAGCTCTATCTGTGCAAAAATCATACACGAAATATCACTTGTTAAATCTTTTATTTTCTTGTCATTTATTTTTGGATATATTACATTGATTAATTCATCGCAGAAATATCTTCAAAATTAAAATATTCTACCCCTTCTTCTCTCTTTCATTGCCTAAAAAAGAAGAAATTTAAATTACAAATATAATAAATTGTATACAAAACATTAAATATCAACCATATTAAAAATAAAAAAGATTGTGAACAGAAAAAAAATGAAGATTGATTAATTCAGTATGAATGAAAATTGAAACTGGTGACTCACAAGAGGCAAAAATACTTTTTTGTTTCAAAATCATAAAACGCTTGATAGAATTGATCAATTTTAATAAATTTAAAAGGAAGTAGAAGCTTATTTTGTAAAAAAAAATAGAGGAAAAATAAAATTATTAAAAAAAACATTTTTCCTCTACTGTATAGAATAGAGGAAAATGAAAGGGAAGAGAAGATTGAGAAAATGATTAGAATAAGATATAAATTTAAAAATTGGGTAAATGTTAAGGAGGAGAAAGCAAGATGAGAACTGGAAAGGAAATTCTTTGGCGCTGTGGAATAAATATTTTTAAAGTTAGGTTAACAATTACGCATTGTAATTAGAATAGAATATCTAAGAAAACAGATTTGTTAGTTATAATTTTTCACTACGTAATATTTATGTGTGAATAATATTAAAAGTTAATAGAAAATTAATTTCAATTAAAACCAACAAACTATTATTTCATGCACGTTAAAAATAATAATTAATTTTTATCATCTTTTCTGAAGACGTATCCCACATAACAAAAGGATATCCATAGGATATCCATATCAATGGTCGATATCCTAGAATGGTCCCCAGGATATCTTGGGATATCCGGTCTGTGGGACATCAACAGGACATCCATAGGATATCCCTAAGACATCCACAAAATATCTATTGGATATTATATCGCAGGATATCCATGGAATATCCTCAGGATGTCCGTGGGATATTCTTAGGATATTCACAGGATATTTAATATCTCAACATATATATTTAAAGGTTAAAATTGTTAAGCTAATATAATTAATATTAATAATATAATAACAACAAAAATCTTATGAGCTTCCCCTCACAACAAAAGGATATTCAGGATATCCTTGGGACGTCCTGGGGATATCGATTTGTTTTCGGCGGTTTGGATATCCCTGGGATATCTTAGAGATGTCCATGGATATCCAGAGGATATCTTAGGGATATCCGAATCGCCAAAAGCAAATGGATATCCCCAGGACGTCCCAGGGATATCCTGAATATCCTTGTGTTGTGAGGGTCTAATTTATTTTAAATGAAGAATTGAAACGCATTTTTCAAAGTTTTTGAATAAACTCATGCACTTAATGTATAATTAATATTAATAGTTCTCGAAAAATAAGTTGCATTTTATTTTATTTATATAAAATTTAATTAACAAAATATTCTCACTCGTACTCTTATAATGACATTAAAAACAGTATCCTGAGAATATCTTCTTGACATCCAGAAGATATACTGAGAAAATCCTGAAAATATCTGTGGGATATCCTAATGATATCTGTGGGATATCCTGACGATATCTATGGGATATCTGGAGGACATTTATGAAAGTCTATAGAGATATCCAAAGGATAACCAAACCGCCGATTTTTTGGATATCCTTAAGAGATCCTTTTGATATCCATATGACATCCCTAGGATATCTGCGGGATATTATCAATATATCCCAAGATATCTTGTGTTATTAGGGATCACATAAAGCACCCTACGTAGAGTTATTAATTAATTAATTTTAATTAAATTAACAAACTATTATTTTATGTTCATTAAAAATAATAAATAATTTTACCATCTGTTCTGAAGACGCACTTTCTGAAGACGCACTACCTGAAGCACTCTCCATAGAGGACTCTACATCATTTTTTTTCCGTAAAAACGGTTTATAGGCAGTCTGTTTTTTATATAAAAAAATATAAATATATATTAATAATAATTGAAATGATTTATTTATTGAAAAAATTATATATTTCGACATAAGAAACAATAATCCGCGTGCAAGAATATAAGAAATAAAAGGTAATTTCAAAAAAGAAAAAGAATTTATACTCAGTTTTTGGAATTGACCATTTTTTGCATTTAAATCTCTTATATACTTACAACGGTTTCATAATCGACAATGGAATTCCAGTACTTGAATGGAAGATCTAAAAATCCCGAAATAATCTGCAAAAATAAATAATAATTAAAAATAACAATTTTCATTATGCAAAAATGTTATTAAAAAAACATTTATATGTACTTTGTGCAAAGAATCATTATAGCTTTTCAAATGCTCTTTGCCTGGTATTCTATTATCATTGATTTGAATCAAAGTTGGTCCAAATATCGTTCCAATATTTCTCACTACTGTCAGATCGTAATTACTTTTTTTTGCAATTTGTTTTAAATGAATAATTATCAATGCAAGTGTATTTCGTCGTATTTCTGGAAGGTTGTCAATGAAAATTTTAAGTTTTTTTTCTTTATCTAATGCTTTTGAGTGTTCTACAGCAGCTGACAATACATACATCGAATTCGGAGGAATAATAGACTCTTCCAGATTACTGAAATTAAATAATACATTTAAAAGAAAATTCTGAAAAATGTAATAAGAGTTTAGGCTTAAAAGGTGCTCTAGGATTACAAGAATATATACACTAAGAAAAATATTTAGTCAGAGCAACCAAAATTTAGTTGGGCCAACAAAACATTTTTATTGGTATTTAAGCAACCAAACTATTTGTTTGAATCAACCAAATTTTGGTTGGTTTTGTTGAAAACACTAAATTTTTTTTTCAGTGATAAGAAACAATCCAGTGGGAAATTACCAATGCTAACCATTGGGCCATTATACCCTCACAACAAAAGGATATTCAGGATATCCTTGGGACGTCCTGGGGATATCGATTTGTTTTCGGCGGTTTGGATATCCCTGGGATATCTTAGAGATGTCCATGGATATCCAGAGGATATCTTAGGGATATCCGAATCGCCAAAAGCAAATGGATATCCCCAGGACGTCCCAGGGATATCCTGAATATCCTTGTGTTGTGAGGGTAGGACCAATGATTGTCCAATATTGAGCCAATGCTGCCAATATTGAGCTACTCTTTTGCCAATGGTAAATTTCCCACTGGGAATAATCGATTTAGGGGAATCATTTTTCTGGTAATTCCAACAATTCCCTGGAATCTTGCAAAAATACAATATAAACTTCTACGTCTTTCTTTTTTTTCTTCTATCCCAGGAAGTAATAAAGCTTTCATTACGATCACATATTTTTACATTAAAAATTAATTTTTTAACATTATTTATACTTCAAGTAAAAATAATAAATACCCCCACAGCACCGAAATTTTCCTAAAGATTTCCTGAAGATTAAATTTGAAATGTTCGGAATATTTATAATTTCAATATTTAGTGAAAATTGTGTAAAGATTTCAATGTCCCACTTCAATAAATGTTCAGGAATTTTTTAACAAAGTTTCACACTATAAACATTTATTTAATCGGGACATTTAAATCTTTACACAATTTTCACTAAACATTACAATTAAATATTCCGAACATTTCATATATAAATTTTTAGAAAATCTAAAGGAAAAGGAAAGTTTCGGTGCTGTGGTGGTGTATATTCGTAATTTCTATTTAATTCATTATTTTCTCTTATAAATAAAATCTGAATTATGCTTTACGGTAGGAGCGCGTGATTATAATAAAAATCATTGTTTACAATTTTTATTTTAAAGACGTATATTTATTATCATTTTGACAAATTTTTATTTTTCTAATTAGCATTTGACAAAAATTCATTTCGAAACAAATTTTTAATTTACAGAAGTTTTATGTGCTAAATTTTATTTGGTAAAATTTTTCATTACACAACTTTATAATTTAATAGAATTTTAAGTACTTCAAATTTTTACATGCTAGAATTTCTAATTTAACTAATCTTTATTTGTTCAAATTTTTATATGGACAAATTGTTTCTAAATTAATTAGAAATTCGGTTAAATTAGAATTTGTTTTAAATAAAAAGAATTCTGTGAAATAAAATTTCGTTATCTAAAAATTTTTTGTTCAGTAAAAATTCATTTAAAAAGAAATTCTGTTAAAGGTAAAAAATGAAAATTTGTCAAAAAAAAATAATTATGTCATATAAAATTCTTTAAAAAATTAAAATTTCTTTCTAATTATAGGAAAAATTCATGCGCCCCTTACAGTGTCAGCTAATCTTCTTTCTAAGATGTTTTAAAATACATTAATGAAATTAACCTTAGAAAGTATAGGACAGTTTTGGCAATAACTTGTACTGAATATAACGATAGATCCACATTAGTATTTTCATCAAGCAATTTTTCCATCAATTCTTTAGCAGATTCTATACCACCGCCTACTAAATACAGTTGTTCAGTCTGTTCCTTGGATTGTACTCTACTATCTAATTCTCGGAAGCATTCTACCAATATTGAAGGTACATATGGTGGATTTTCAGATTTATATTTTTCGATTGGCCCCTAAATAAACAGTTTTACATAAGTTTTATAATTTTTATACGAACTGTACAAAAATATTTTTATATTTTTCATTTATAATATTATTTTATAAATATAAGTATTTTAAAATATTTGTTTTATTTGAAAATGCAAAAAATTATTAACTTCCTAATAACTTCAACAAATCAAAGTTGAAAAACACTACTACAATATATTTTAATTATTTATTTTAAAAAATTACCAAGTTATCGTCATCTAAATCAACATGGATAACTGATGTTTTTTTTTGTGCCTAAAAAATAATTTTTTATTATATAATCTAATAAACAAATTTCACTTCTTAAGAGTAATTTGTAAATTACTTTCAAATTTGAAATTATTATATATAATAAATCTTACTGGTAACACACACAAACTATCCTTTATCAGGGCAATGATAAATAAAGACAGAAGTAGAACATTTTTTGTAGAGGTCATTTTTTCAAAATCTGAAGACTTGTGAAAATCACAATAATATTTGAACTGATTTTATTTTTATTTATATAATGCTGCAATAATATAATAAAAATATCACTTATTAGTATTTTTCTATTTTTAACCCTTACGTGCCTGAGTTCATGTTTGGACGTGAGTGTCTGAGCTGCGGGTCCAACGTACCCAGCTGCTTAAATTTCATTTAAAAAAAAGATTTAATATCAGGATACTTAATATTTTTTTTCTAAATTATAATTGTAATATTTTACAAATATAATTGCAAAAAATATTTAATCTTTTGATACTCTAGGGTACATAAATAGCCCACAAAAAGTCATGTCGTCGCACACCTTCTTCGACAGGGCGAACTTAAGTGTACAGTACAAAAGAAATATAATTAAATTAATTTGATTATTACTGGGTATTCGCTAAGTTTTTGGGGTCGCTGATTATGAATCCGACGTCAAATTTAGAAAATTCAAAATGGCGGATCCAATATGGTGGACGAATTTTAAAAAAACGTTCGGATTCTCTTGAAAATCGTTACTCGGGGGTTTTTGTGGTCGCTGATTACGAATCCGGTGTTAGTTTTCAAAAATTCAAAATGGCAGATCCAATATGGCGAACAGTAAAATTGAAAATCAATACAATTTACTAATATCAGGTTCGTAATCAGCGACCTTGAAAACCCCTGAATGACCAGTTTCAAGCAAAACCGTCAAATTGAAAAAATATATCTGCCATATTGGTTCCGACATTTTAAATTTTGAAAAACGGACACCGGATTCGTAATCAGCGAACTTGAAAACCCCCCCGAGTAACGATTTTCAAACGAATATGTTGAAGTACATGAAAACAAAGTTGCCTGGGTCAGATGGACCCAGCTTAGGCACGCAAGGTTTAATAAAAAAATATTTCATTGAAAAATAGGAATTTTAACAATTCGAAAAAATAAATTAATATTACCTGATATATGATTTCAACTGTAATTGTAAAACACAAAATTCAACTGTAGGCAGTGGGTTGCAGATTAAGTCTATTTAAAGGCTAGGCGCTTTGCATGAAAAAAATATAAAATACTTATCAGAGCTATAATTTTTTACTATTTTTTTTTACTTTTTTTATTTTTTTATTAAAAAATAATCAATATTTTATCTTTTTAACATTAAAATATCCAAAGAGCTTAAACCAACACATCTCAAAATTTGCCCTGCATTAATAATATTAATTCTAATATTATAAATTGTCCATATATTGGTGGTCGTTGTTATAAAAATGAAATAATAATAATAATAATATTAAGATTCAGTAATACATTTTATCGAAAACTTAAATTAAAAAAAAAATTTCCAATATCATTATAGATTTCTAAGTCACCAAAAAATCACTTATTATAAACGGGTATAATTATAACCGTAACAATGGTGGTAATTACAACTGTAAATTCGACTTAAAATTTACAGGCGTATTTAGTACCGGAATTACAGTCCTCATTAGGGTCTTTATAACGGTCATAATTTTTCCAATAGGGTGATAATTCTGTAAAAAAAAAATTAGTTTGAATAAAAATATTATTTGACAAAAGTTTTGTTAAATAGAAATTTTGTTAAATGGTAATTCAGTTAATGAAAATACTTTTAAGTGAATATTCGGATAAATACAAAAATTTGATAAAAGAACAATTCTGCTAAATAAATCTGCTATATAAGTTCTTATATGTGGGAAATATTCATACGTCCCCCTATTTGCGACGTTGTTTACAAAGTTAAAATTTTAAAGCAGTAAAATTCTATTCAATAAACATAAAAAATGTGTATACTTTAACTTTTGCCCGCGACTTTTTTTGCTTATCTTGATTGTTTACTGCTTTTAATATTTGACCATAAAAAGATGATAAAAATAATAATAACTTTTAGAACATTAAAATCCGAGTTAAAATCTATTTTTTTTATAAGTGAAATTTTGAAAGCAGAAATCCATACCAAATAAAATTTTCTAAATAAAGTTTAGATACCTTAATATTTCATATCTTTTTTTATTACATATTTTTTAACATTGATTATAAAACTTTAATCAAATCTTTTGAAAACATTATTCTATAAAGTTAGATCAGTAATAAATTTCCTAATTTCAAATTTATATTATTATTTTTTTCTTTTTTGGATAAAGATGTGGATAGTTTATTTTATTTTATTATTATTGTTAAAAACAATAATAAACATATACCCTCCCAACAAAGGGATATCCTCAGTATATCCTAAACTAATGTAGGATATCCTGACGATATTCTCAGAATATCCAAACCGCCGTTACGTAGGATATTTTAGGGATATCCTGAGAATATTCTAGGGATATCTCCCTAGTATATCATTATGATTCAAATTTTTACTATTTGAGATAGCGATTTTTTTATACAAATAGTTAGCGCTTAAGGTATCACATCGGTAAAACCGTTTTCTATAAATTTTCTTGAAAATTTTACCATATGTTCTTATTATCATTCTTGACAAATTTGCAAAATATGAAGAATTTTCGCCGTACGAAACCAGAGATATTAGCAATCAAAGTTGCTTATTTTGCATGGGAGACGGGACTAATGTATGGGGGAGAAGTACATTTTCATAAATATCATCAGAAGTTTTCTATAAATTTTTTTAAAAAACTAATGTTGAATTCACGAATAAATTTGGAACTAAAATATACAAAGAAATTTATAATTTACCGTGCCGTTTATTTGTAATTATAAATTAAAAATTCTATTTCATAACGTCATTTGCAATATATAGCACACCCGCCACTTTGATGTGGCAACATCGCAGGATGGTAACATTAGTTAGAGAGAGACAGTAGTCCACAGTAGTCAAAGCGAGACTTATAGCGACGTTGTCAAACCTCCTACTCCTTCCAATCGCTGCTAGTGTTGGGTATACGTGTACGAGTGTATTTGTAGAAGTAGGTACAGTATGGGCTGAGAGTATAGGGAGTTGAGGGCGAAAGTATAGTGCGGGAAGTAGTAATGCGAGCTACAAACTTTTGACTCCGATTAGTGCCGATGTGATACCTTAAGTTGGTTTCAAGAGATTTTTTAAAGAAAAAGTAGAAAAAAGAATTCTTGTAGATAAGGTAAATCATTTTAGATATCTTGGAAATACATTATAAATACATCCAAAAAATATGTTTTCCATTTTTATTTAATTAATTTGTATGTTAGGGTCGTTTTATGGATACCTTAGGGACATTTTTAGAACGACTCAAGGATATTCTAACCCTTAAGATAATATAGACATACTGTGGATATCCTTAGGACGTCCTATAAGGACATCCCTAATTATTCCAGGGATATTCTTAGGACGTCCTGAGGATATCCTAATAATATCCGGGGAAATGATTAGAATATCCTTGGGACGTTCTAGGGACATCCTCAGATATCTCTGGGATATCCCTAAGATATCCTAACCGACGCTACTTTGGATATCCTTAAAGTATCCTTAGGATATCCCTGGGGTGTCCCTAGGATATCCAAGGGATGTTTTTGGAATATCCAAGGATATCTGGTGCTGTGAGGGTAAAGAAGACATTTTTTTCCGTAAAATACAGTATAATTAATAACAAAATATAATATATATGCATTTATTTGATAGTTCTGAAATTTTGTATTTGAAAAGTTTTTTCAAAGTTAAAATTTTAAAATAGTAAAATTGTCTTCGATAATCACAAAAAAATTTACAATTTAATTTGAAGAAGCGACTTTTTTTCCTATCTTTTCGTGTTTACAATAACTTGATAATTGCACAAAAAGAAATAATATAAATTTTAGAATATTAAAATATTTTTTTTTCCTTTAAGTTGAAACCTTAAAAAAATTATTGTCATATAATATTTTAATTAAAATTTTTATTTGCGGACGGATGAATATTCCATAGGAATTTTGGTGGTGACAGATTAAAAATTATTCAATTATCGTTTTAAAATCCACCAATCACAATTTTCTTGATAATATTTGATTGGTGGATTTTAAAACTCCCGATGAAATGTTTCGGCTATAGGTGTATGATCCGATATGTAAAAGTTCTATCAAATATCATTTCAGACAAGTAAAAGTTCAGTCAAATGGAGTTTCGCAGAAATAATAATTCTTTCAGTTAAAAATTTAAATATGATAATTTCTTTTTAAAATGATAATTGTGTTAAACAAAAATTAGTTTAAATAAAAATATTCTTTAATAGGTAAATGTTTTGTAAAATAAGAATTTTTTTAAATAGAAATTTAAAAAATAATTTAATTATTAAATAAATTTCAATAGTTCTTTTGTAAGAGATATTCATTCGTCTCCGTATTTGAGTTATTTTTACAAAGTAAAAATTTTAAAGCAGTTGAATTCTCTTCAATAAATATGAAAAATTTATATTTTAACTTTTGCCAATGACTTCTTTTTAGTTTAATGATTGTTTACTGCTTTTAATATTTGTCTATAAAAAAATGATAAAAATAATAACTTTTAGAACATTAAAATCTACAGTTTTTGTAATTGAAATTTTTAAAGTAGAAATCCATATCAAATAAAATTTTTTAGAAATACTTGGATACATTAATAATTCATATCTCTTTTTAATATATATTTTTTAACATTGATTATATGAATAGAATATTTTATTTTATTATCATTGTTAAAAATAATAATAAGTATTGTAAATAGAACAAAAATGTTTCTTTATTTAATTAATAATTAATAATAAAATATGCATTTATTTGTCAGTTTTGAAATATTGTATTTGGGATGTTTTTTTCAAAGTTAAAATTTTGAAACAGTAAAATTGTCTTGGATAATCACAAAAAAATTTACAATTTAGTTTGTAGAAGCGACTTTTTTTTATTACTATCTTTTCGTGTTTACTGTAATTTGATATTTGCACAAAAGGAAATAATAACTTTTAGAATATTAAAATATTTTTTTTTAACTTTAAGTTGTAAGCTTAAAAATTTATTATTATTATTAAATATAATATAAATTAAAATCAAAAATAGGTTACATTAGAAGACTTGAGAAAAGAAATTTTTTTTGGGCGTCAGTCCTTATTAAAAATTTTCACGTGGGATGCCATATAGGTTTAGGAACATAATTATTTAAAAATGAAATTATTTATGTTAATAATTATTGTTCAAATTTTTGTCGCAGAAACAATAAATGATCGATTAATTCATTTTGCTGTAATTTAATATTATTATGTAATAAAATGTTGAAATTTTAAAGCACTGATAATGTAAAGAACGAAAATTTTTTAAAAAATGTTTGCTATGTAAGTAAATTAATGGAAATAAATGGATATTTTTAACTTTATTAAAATAAAGCAAAAGATATAATTTTATTTTATAACAGTTTTTCATACTTTATTTTTATAATAAACAATAAGAATCTAAAAGCAGCTATATTATACAATACAATATCTACAAGGTTTTTTTTAGATCTGATAGCGGTTTCCAATGTATTTTTGTGCCCTGAACCAGGTCCTTATTTATTTCTAGTTGATAATTTTAAAGGTCAATATTTTTGAAAACAAAATTTTAAAGCAGTAAAAATTCTAATCTCATGTTTTATACATGTACTCAACTTCCTTTTGCCTTACTTAATTATGTATTTTAAATTAGAAGCACATTAATTAAAATATAAATATAATAATTCCAGGTCCACCCCTAATAACACAAGATATCTTGGGATATATTGATAATATCCCGCAGATATCCTGGGGATATCCTATGGATATAAAAAGGATCTGTTAAGGATATCCAAAAAATCGGCGGTTTGGATATACTTTAGATATCCCATGGATATCTGAGGATATCCACAGGATATCTTCTGGATATCTCTATAGACTTTCATAAATGTCCTCCAGATATCCCATAGATATCGTCAGGATATCCCACAGATATTTTCAGGATATTCTCAGTACATCTTCTGGATGTCAAAAAGATATTCTCTGGATACTGTTTTTAAAGTTATTATGAGACTAAGTATGAGAATATTCTGTGAATTAAATTTTATATAAATAAAATAAAATCAAATTTTCATTTAAAATAAATTAGAAGCTCATAAGATTTTTGTTTTTATTATATTATTATTCATTATATTAGCTTAACAATTTTAACCTTTAAAAATATATGTTGAGATATTAAATATCCCGTGAATATCCTAAGAATATCCCATGGATATCCTGCGATATAATATCCAATAGATATTTTGTGGATGTCTTAGGGATATCCTGTTGATATCCTATGGATGTCCTATTGATGTCCCACAGACCGGCGGTTTGGATATCCCAAGATATCCTGGGGCCATTCTGGGATATCGACCATTGATATGGATATCTTAGGGATATCCTTTTGTTATGAGGGTTGAATTAATTAATTTTTATTTTAATCAATTGAAAGATATTTGCTTCGAATATTAATTAATTATTATTTTTATTTGTTAAAGGATTTATAATCCATACAAAGGAGTTTGATTTTACTTTTTTTTTCTTCATAGTGTATGTATAATATATTCCATTAAATGACAGTTTTTATCTTAAAAATATATGTACAATTTAATATTTCTTTGATAAAATTTACTACTTTCCTAATTGATGACGGGCTTCTATCATTCAATGATTTCCACCAAGTATTTCTCATCAATTCTTCATCGTCGACACAATTAAAATATTTTTTCCTAATATCGCTTAAAGATTTACAATTTATAATTAAATGATATTCATCGAAAATTGGTCTCCGTTCCTCACAGTTACATTTGCTTTCTTTCGAGAACTTAAAACATTTGTTTTTAGATATTATTTGGGTTTGGAAAATATTCAACATTCTCATCTGAGCAAAAATCTTGATAATCGGAAGTGGCAATCTCGTATTCAGATACGGTTGGAGACCATCATATAAGGACAAATGCGAATAAAATTTCAGAGAAGAGGAGTTCTGGAGTCTCTCCAAGTCCTGACTGACTAAAAAATTTCCAAATTTTTTCAACAATTTATTTTTATTCATTTTTAAAACGTCACCAGACAAGGAACTCCAGATCTCCTCCGCTCCCATGCTATTAAAAAATATGGTTTTAATTTGGTGAGCCCAATTATATCTCGCATCGACTTTCTTATTACTATCAGCCAAAATTTTAATTCTCTCGAAACATATTCTTGGGTAACGCTTATCGTCCATGTTAAGTAGAGGAAGACAAAAATTACCACCCATTAGTCAACCACAATCACAAAAAAATAGACAAAAAAATTCAATTTTTCTTAGGCAGACTATTGTATTGCAATTTCTTGCACAAAATACACCTAAAAGTGTAGAAAATATTGACAGCCCAATACAAGTAGAGGAAGACAAAAATTACAACAGATTAGTCAACCACAATCAGAAAAAAATTCAATAAAATAGTCTGCCTAAGAAAAATTGAATTTTTTTGTGATTGTGGTTGACTTAGGGGTGATAATTTTTTTCTTCCTCTACATGTATTGGGCTGTCAATTTTTTTCTACACTTTTAGGTGTATTTTGTGCAAGAAATTGCAATAAAATAGTCTGTCAACCACATTCACAAAAAAATTCAATTTTTTTTAGGCAGACTATTTTATTGCAATTTCTTGCACAAAATAAACCTAAAAGTGTAGAATGACTCTACATTTAATATTATATTATAATATTTTCATATAAAAATTATATATAATAATTATATTATTATATAGGATTAATTTTCTTAAAGTTCTTCGACTTTAAGGACAACATTCTCATCATGGAACTCGCGTTTCACGCTCGAATGTATGACGCGAAATTATTAGTGTTTTTGAGTATTTGGATTTTTTAAATATATGAAACATTTGAGCGAACGAATACATTTAAGGGAATAGTATCACATCTCCATTATTTTTTTAAAATAGTTTTTTTAATTAAACAATTTTTAAACAATCTTGTACAAGAGCAGAAAACGAACCTGTAAAAAGAATTGGAACAAAGTACATGAACATGTACAGGTACATGCAAGTGTACTTGTTTGCGACATTGTGTGTGCAAAATTGCAAATCGATTCGTTTCGATTTACAAAAGTTATTGTGTCTATATAAAGACAGACACTTTCGCCTGACCATGATTTTTCGACTCAGGGCACTTCAAAACGTAAAGATTTCATGGAAATAGAAACAGTCAATTTTCGACCAATTATAATACCTTCTCATGTGATGAGAATGTAAAAATTGAATTTCCTTAAAGTTATAATTGAAATTGTTAAATTTTAAAAAATTTTCGATGGAAAATTTTATAAATAATTGAATTATAATTGAAATTTTGGATAATAATTCAATTTTAGTTGAGTTTTGATTGAAAATTTGATAATAATTAATTTTGCATTAAAATTTTTGAGAATAATTGAATTTTAGTTAATTTTGAATTGAAAATTTTGAAAATAATTCAATTTTAGTTGATTTTAAATTGAAAATTTAGAAAATAATTGAATTTTCTTTGATTTTAAATTGAAACTGAATTTTTTTAAAATTATAAACAATTGTTAAATTTCATAAAAATTTTAATTGAAAAATAATTTGAAATAATTTAATTTGTGATGAATTTCATTAAAATTATTAAAAGTAATTAATTTAGTGAAGAATTTTCGTTAAAAATTTGTTATATAATTGAAATAAAGAAGATCTGTATTTTATACTAAAAAAATATATTTTATTTTTTAAAATTTGTTTAAAAAATGTTAAAAAAAAAAAGTCGAAATAGTCGCATTTTATTAAAATAATTCGAAAAAAGTCGTATTTTTGAAAAAAAAAAAAAAAAGTCGGAAATAGTCGAAAAAGTCGTATAATCCGAGGCCTGCGATTCTGAAATATTGGAAATAAATTTTTTTGAATTATTCTTATTGAGGAATTAATAAAATGAATTTAATATCCAATAACAATAGTTATTTGAAATAAAATATTTATTCAAAATAAAAAATTGATTTTTTCGACTTTTCTTGTAATTCTTGTAATTTTAATTCATTTAAAAAAAGGAACTTTGAAAAAGAAAAATACCAAAGAATTAAAACTTCCAAAATTTTTCTTTTCCTTTTTTATTTATAATTATTATACATCCTTCGTTAAATTAAAAGTTTTTCGCGAGGATTCCGTCTGTTTTGCTTAGTCTGCCAATACAGTCATCGGATTCACCCTGAAAATTAAAAAAACAAGTTTTTAATTTTATTTTCTTAAGAAGATTCTTTTTATTCTTTTTATTACTTAAGATTTTTTAATTATTACATTTATTTTTATTTTATTTATTTATTTTAAATTTAAATTACAATAAAAAGCCAATGAAAAAAGATTTCTATATTCAGAAAGAAAATTTCATATCTTTTACGTAAAAATAAATGATTTTTACAAAAAAATTTTGATTTTTCTTTTAATTTGTAGGAAAAATAGATTCTAAGAAAAAAAAATGTAGTTTTCATATTTTATAACATAATTAAGAATTTTTTAATTCTTAATTTTAATTAAAATTTCTATTTAACAAAAATTGTTTAGAATTTTTCAAGATTTTTTTTTTAATTTTGAAAAGAAATTCTAAACAAAATTTTGTCTTAATTTAAAAAAATTTTTCTTTTTTTAAAAAAAACGTACCATTCGCCTGATTTGTCCGCAAATGGCATACATTTTAAAAGTATCGCTCATGCGACCAGTTTCTGGATCAACATCAGCCAAAGTGAGTTGAATTGAAGCATGATCCTTGGCGTGAATGATGCTGTTACTCGCTGAGCTACAAATAAAGAAAAAGAAATTTAATCCTTGAGGAGAAAAGTAAAAATCGTTATTTTAATTTAAAAAATTTTTTTTTTAATTATTTAATTAAATAAAAAAGAAAGTAAATTTTTTTTTTTTACAAAATGATTAATTTTCCTTCCATTTTTTGCATAACTTTAAAAATTTATTTATTTCAATTAAATAAAAAAATTAAAATATTCATTTATTAAAAATATAACAAAATTAAATAAATATTAATATAACAATTAAATTACATTAAAAATTTTAATTTCAATCAATTTGAAAACAAAAAATTTAATAAAATTTCTTGGACAATTCAATTCAAAAAAAAAAAAAATTAATCAAAAATTTTATTTTCAATCAATTAAAAACAATGTAATTAAATTTCTCTGAAAATTCAATTATCAGTTAAATAAATATTAATTAACATTTAATTTTCAATTAATTTTGAAAAAAAAAAGTTTAATTATATTTTTTTAAAAATTCAATTTTTCGCTTAAGAAAAATTAATTAAAATCTAATTTTCCATTAAAATTAAATTAAACAATTATATATTTTAAAATATAAGTCTTATTTTAACGATAATTTATACATTTGTTTTACAGATAAATAATTGCCAATTATTCTTTAGCGGTTACATTTCCAAAAGTATTACGATTATATTTTTGCGGCATATTTAGTCGCAAATCATTAAATTCGTCAAATTTTGTAAAAAAAAAAAACAATAGTAAAAAATTTGAAAATAAAACTTCAAAACTTCACGTTTATTAATAACTAAAGAAAATAATTTACAAATTCAAAATCAAATTAATAATTGTCAAAAATAAAAATAACAATCTGCCAAATGAAATCGAAACATAACCTACAAAAATTCATTGTGAAAATCGCGAATCGTAATTTCCTTTCGTACTCTCTAGTTTCATATTATTTTTTCACAGAAAACAAATTAAAACACTTATTTTTAATATAATTGAATTAATTAATAAAAAAAACATTAATAGAGAAAACATATAGTACAAAACAAAAAAGAAAACCACGTGTGACTTACCATTTTCGTGGACAGTACAAGTCAACAAGTTCACCTGCGTCGTTTTCCATTGTTTAGAGATTAATAAAAATTTGCCGACAAAAATAGCAAAAAAAAAAATCAAACCTTCTCGGTTAATTAATGAAAATTTAATTAAAGAATCTTATTTCCTTTTGACAAACGATGTTACTCGCAGAACTCACAAACGGAGAAAAGAAAGATGGCGACAGAGTTGCCAATGACCCTAACTAAACGCTACTGCGCTTGCGCTACGACAACTCTCTTATAGGTCGATAAAAGCGCGCTTATACAAAATGCTTAATAATAAGAAAACTTTAATAAAGCAATAAAAAAATATTTTTATATTGAATTTTTTTTGTTAATTATATTGCTTCCTAATAAAAAAAATACTAATCTCCTTAATATACTTAAGTATATAATAATAATAATAATTTTATTATATTTATATCATTATTATAATTATTTTTTAAATAAAATATTCATAATCTATTATTATTATTATCAATTTAATATTTATTAATTAATTATGTAATATATTATTTATTTTTCTTATTAACATTAAATTGTTATTTATTAATTGTCTATGATATATGACATATATATTTTTTTAAAACTTTAGCGAAATTTTTTTTTACTTTTTTATGAGAAAAATTTGAATTGGGAAAAAAGTACAAAAAAAAATTCGATTCATTTTTTTTTTTGAAATATATACATGTAATACAGTCATTATAATAATGATATAAATATAATAAAATTATTATTATTATTATTATATACTTAAGTATATTAAGGAAATTAGTATTTTTTTATTAGGAAGCAATATAATTAACAAAAAACAATTCAATAGTAAAAATATTTTTATATTGCTTTATTATTATTTCTTATTATTAAGCATTTTGTATAAGCGCGCTTTTATCGACCTATAAGAGAGTTGTCGTAACGCAAGCGCAGTAGCGTTTAGGTAGGGTCATTGGCAATTCTGAATGGCGACAATTTTTCTCACTTTGCCGTCAAATTGGTACGCATGCGCGAATAATATTTGGACAAATTTTCTAGAGGAAATCTAGTGACATGAAAAAATTTAAGAAAAAGCAATTATACAAAAAAAACACCAAGTAAATTTAAAAGAATTTTTTTTTTTTTTGTAATATATAATCATTTTACAAGATAATTAGTATTTATTTTGGGAAAATATTCGAAAATCCTTCAGTTCACTTGAGATTTTTGTGGCAATAGGGAATATTATGAAAATCAAAAAGTGAAATATTCCTAGAATATATATAGGGAAATACGAGAAAAGTGAAATTTACTATACTTCTGTACGCTAAATTGTTTTTTTTTCGAGAGCTGCAGCTCATTCAGGAAAAGGTGAAAATACTTTTAACTGAAAATTTGCTAAAATATGGCATCGAATTTGGGTCGAGTTGTCGCTCGACGATTTTCGGCTTTACCTGCAGGTGCAAAACCTGGTGATTATGGCGAGAGTGCCGGTAAGTAAAACATTTTTTAAACATATTTAATTACGTTAATTTTAACATTCCATAATATTGTGAGGTTATTTGTCTTCCACAAGAATAATTTTCTTATCTATTTTTTTTTCATTCTATTTTTGTTACGAAATCTCGTATGAATTTTTAGTATTTTTCGTCTTGAATTTTTTTTAAAAACCACTTTTTTTTTCTTTTCTTTTTTGCAATAAAGAAGAAAGGGGTTTTTCTTTTTTTGTTTCTGGTATATAGTTGAGAACATTATATAACATATATTATTAAAATTCGACAATTTTATATTGTGTCTTGTATTTTTTTTTTTATTTCATTTGAAAATAGAAATGAAAATTCTAGAGAAAAATATATTTACGAAAATAATTTTTTTTTTGGAAAAATAAAATATTTGAAAATAATCCCAAATAGTACTTAAACTTGCAGTAATATTTTGCAATATTCTAATATTTACAGCAACATTGCAGAAATAATGGCAAATTTTAGATTTTTTTTCGGAAAATTAGATAATTTATCGAAAAAAAAAAATTTTTAATTTGTTTAAAATAATTTAAAAATAGTAGGTATAAATTAAAATTTTTAAATTAAAAAAAAAATTTAACGTAAATTTTTTTTTGATAATTTTTTAATTAAATACAGTTTTTGTATAAAAAAAATATTTTTTTTAATTATAATTTTAAAAGAAAATTTATTTATTTATTGAAAATGATAAATTTTATAATTTAGTAAATGTGGCATTCTCTGAGAAAAAAAAACCACTTAAAATTTAAAATTATTTAATTTATTTATTACTTTGGTAAATATTGGTTTTATGTGAGAGTAACAAATCACTAAAATATTAGCTCATTTAAAAAAAATATATATTAAAAAATAGGGGTTGAAATTTTGGTATTTTTATTTATACCAAAAAATTAAAATAATTTAATTTAAAAAAAAGTTAATTAACAAAATTAAATAAAAGATAAAAATTTCTAGATGAAAAGAATTTTTTTTTTCTTGCAAAAAGTTATATTTAACAAAAAGATAAAATATTTATTTCTTAATTTGATAAAAATTAAAAATTTTAATATAATTTTTTATTTATTTATTTATATAATTGCGTATTTTTATTTTTTAATGTAAAAAATTTAATTTTCCTTTTAATTTTTTTAATTGTATAATAATAATTCTCAAATGTTAAATTAACTATAAATAATAATTAACAATTTTTTCAGCTAAAGGAGAAAAATTGTGGAAAATGATTTCACTTTTTGTCGCTGTACCTGCAGTTATAGTAACTGGTGCTATTAATTATTATGAGCATGTGAACCATGAGCACCACAGGCCCGAGTTCATTCCCTATGAACATTTGCGAATTCGCAACAAGGTATAAATTTTTAATTTTAATTTTTTTAGTTAATTCATTTTTTATAATATATGTATAAATAATTTTCTTAAAAAAAAAAGAAAAAAATGTTTTGAAATTTGATAGAAAGAATAAGGAAATATAAGAAGAAAAGGGAAAGAGTTAAAATAAGGGAAGAATTGAAAAAACTGTTTAGATTAGGGAGAGGGAATTATCAAAAGGGATGTCCTCTAAGTCCAATGTTGTTTAACTTGTTGATAACAGACCTGGAGGAGAGATTGTAGAAATAGGGGATTGGTATTAAGGAAGGGAAAAGTCTATACGTTGGCATATGTCGATGATGTGGTTTTGATGGCTAATGACGACTTTTATGCAAGTCGCATAATCGCATAATGTTTTGAAATTAAGCATAACTTTTCAGGTCTCGGATTATATGACTTTTTCGACTATTTCCGACTTTTTTTCAAATACGACTTTCTTCGACTTATTTTAATAAAATGCGAATATTTCGACATTTTTTTAAATTTTTAAAAAAATTTTATATATTTTTTTTAGTATAAAAATGCAGATCTTCTTCAGATCTTCTTTATTTCAATTATTTATCAAATTTTTAACTAAATAAATTATTTTTAATAATTTTAATGAAATTCATCACAAATTTAATTATTTCAAATTATTTTTCAATTAAAATTTTTATGAAATTTAACAATTGTTTATCATTTTAAAAAAATATCAAATAAAATTACCTAAAATTTTTAATTCAAAATCATTAATGAAATAAAATTCAATTATTTACAAAAATTTCAATTCAAAATCAACTAAAATTCAAATATTACCAAAAATTTCAATTGAAAATTAATTATTATCAAAATTATCAATTAAAAATCAACTAAAATTAAATCATTAACCAAAATTTCAATTAAAATTCAATTATTTTCTAAAATTTCAATTCAAAATCTTTTAAAATTTAATTATTTTCCAAATTCTCAATTTAAAATCAAATAAAATTCAATAATATTCCAAATTTTTAATTCAATATCAACTAAAATTCAATTATTCTAAAAATTTCAATTAAAAATTAATTATTATTAAAATTTTCAAACAAATATCAACTAAAATTGAATTATTATCCAAAATTACAATTCAAATTCAATTATTTTTCAAAATTTTAATTCAAAATCAACTAAAATTCAATTATTATCGAAAATTTCAATTTAAATTCAATTTTTTTTCAAAATTTCAATTCAAAATCAACTAAAATTCAATTATTACCAAAAATTTCAATTCAAATTCAATTATTTTTCAAAATTTTAGTTCAAAATCAACTAAAATTCAATTATTATCCAAAATTTCAATTGAAAATTAATTATTATCAAAATTTTCAAACAAGTATCAACTAAAATTAAATTATTATCCAAAAATTCAATTAAAAAACAATTAAAATTCAATTATTATCAAAAATTTTAATTAAAAATTAATTATTATAAAAATTTTCAATTAAAAATCAACTAAAATTAAATCATTATCCAAAATTTCAATTAAAATTCAATTATTTTCCAAAATTTCAATTCCAAATCTTTTAAAATTTAATTATTTTCAAAATTCTCAATTTAAAATAAAAAAAAATTCAATTATTTTTCAAATTTTCAATTCAATATCAACTAAAATTCAATTATTCTAAAAATTTTAATTAAAAATTAATTATTATTAAAATTTTTAAACAAATATCAACTAAAATTACATTATTACATTAATATTCTTTGAAAATTTAACTATATGAAACCATTTTTCAATTTAAAATGGTTTTCAAATTATTGTATTTTTGTCCGCAATTTCTAATACATTTTTTAGTGAAATCATCATAAACTTTTAATTAAAAATCACTTGAAATTTAATTAATTTCAAAAATCTCAATTGTAAATCTTTGAAAATTCAATTACATTTAAAAAATGTTATCTAAAATTGTTTGATAAATTATTTTTAGTTCTGTAAAATTTAATTATTGTCTAAAAATTAACAATATCTTTTGAAATTCAATTATTTCTAAAAATTTTAACATTAAACTTTTAAAAATTATTATTATATAAAAAATAATTTTATTTAAAAATCTGTAAAATATCTTTGTTAAAATAAAAAAAAATCGACTTTTTCAACTTTTTTTGAAATATAAATCGACTAAAACGACTTTTTTGTGCCTTTAAGTCGATCCGAGGCCTGCTTTGGTGTTTTATGAATTATTAAAAATACATGCAAAATAAATGTAATTTTCAATCGCATCCAAACGCATAATTATAATTTCAATGCATAATTTTTTTTTTCATTGCATAATTTAATAATATTTGCATAATCATTGCATAATTGTAAATTTTTTGTCTAAAATATTATAAAATTTATTAAATTAAATTGAATTAAATTAAATTTAAAATTAAATTAAATTAATTAATTATTAAATTTTTTTTATTGAAAAGCACCTAAAACATGCTTCAAATTTTCCAATTTGCAAATTAAAATCCATAAAGTTTTGAGATAGTTATGTGGATTTGAAAATTTTAATGTTACTAATAACGTAAAAATATTCACCCCTTACTATTTTCCAGGAAATTTTTTTTTAAATGAGCTAATATTTTAAGAATTTGTTGCTCTCAAATAGGGCAACAATTTACCAAAGTCACAAGTCAGTTCAATAACATCTAAATTTTGACCTGGACAGATCAGAAATTTTACCCCATATATATTATGAATGTAAAAATTATTCAAATACATAATTGATACCAAAGTTAATTGTATTTAAGTTCTGTTATTGCTTATTTCATTTTTTTTTTTAGTTCACAAAATTATTTATTAACTACATTAAAACTATTTAAGCATTATCATGTTTAATTAAAAACTAACTATGAGTCATTGCATAATTTTATTTTCATTGCATAATTTTTAGTTTTTCGTTGCATAATTTCAAAATTTTCATCGACATAAAATCGTGTCTCTATTTATAATATTGAATTGTGAATTTCGAAAATGCTTCAACTCGAAAAAGCTCAAGTGTCATTTTCGCATAACATTGGATAGTGAAAATGACTCTTATGGTTTTCAAAATTGAGCCCTTTTCGAAATTTACGATTCAATTTGAGTCAGGAGCTAAATGTATAACTAGAAAGATTGAGAAAAGAGGAAAAATGATGATGATTTTAAAGAATATATAATAATTTCCATTAAAAAAAAAAAATTTCCACTTATCTGCCATTTTGAATTTATTTTCAAGTCTTGATATCTTGTAGCATAAACATTTTTAACGCTACATTTGCAAAATTTAGAGGTATTTTAATTAGATAAACTCTAGAAAAAATTTGATTTAAATTAAAAATATATTAATTTTTATCTTATTTCGTGCTTTAATTAAAAAATAAAATTTTTTTTTTTATGCAGCCTTTCCCTTGGGGAGATGGTAACCACAGTCTCTTTCACAATAAACACAGGAATCCTCTTCCAACTGGCTACGAGGACTAAAAATCGTAAGAATCAAGATAGATTTATTCCATAAATATTATGTAGTTATTATATTTAAAAGCAAAACAAAAGAAATAATTAGCATTATATCTTAAAATTGTCCAAATAAACTTAAAAAAAAACGAATTTCTTTAAATGCCGTAAAATTGACATTCAAGCCTTTTTTTTCTCGAACCTTCCGTTGTTTTTTGTTTGTCTTTTTTTTTTTTTTTTATTGCAAACCTTAAAACACTGCGATAATTAATTATTAACAATTATTAATAGTTATACTTACCTAATAATTAGAAAATATAATTCCAAAAAATTAAATTATCTTTAAAAAATAAAAAAAATTTCTAAAACATTATTTTGAATTAAAAAAAATTAACGAAAAATTTTACTAAAGTTTTATTTAACAGCGATAAATTTTTTTTTTCCTGTTAATTAATTTCAATACTAATACTAAACAATAATAATAATAATAATTACACTAAAGGAATTTCAGATGGGAAAGAAAAATAATTAAAAAATTCTCCTTTTGTTTCAAAGTACAAGAACAATTTGTATTTATTTTTCTTACTATATTTTTCGTATAAAAATTGAAAATTTCATGGAACGTATAAAAAAAGAGTATAAACTAATAACTTATTGTTTAGGAACTTATTATTTTGGTGTTTTATGAAAAAATTCGCTATCCACATAATCGTATTTACGTTATTTTAAGATTACAAATTTTTTCATTTTTTTCTTTTAACATTATTAATACTTAAGTTTCAACATAAATATAATGAAATATATAATTAAAAAAATGACAATAATAATAATAAAAAAATAGCAATAATAATAATAATAATAATTACAAATTACAAAAATTGTATAGGTAACATTTTATCCTTAACGCAAGTAAATAATATTTTTATAATTCGAAATTTCGTAAAGTTACAAGAAAAAGCGTGTTATTTGTTCGTTAGAATCTAAATACTGGCTCTTTGTTTTTAATTTCTAAACACTAGTAACAATTATGGCACAAATTATAGTGAATGCTCTTATTTTTCTATTTTAGTTTAACAATGACTTTGTTTTCTCACTTATAATAATAATACGTCAAAAGAAACATTGTCTTATTGAAAATGAATTTCTATTTCCTATATTTTTCTTTGTTTTGCATAAATCTCTTATTTATATCGAGTGTTTAAAAAGTTTCTTTTTAAAAAACAAAAAACAGAATTTTATCACTAAACTATAATTTAACGACTTCTATTTATTTATTATTAAACTCTTTTTTTTAAGGAACTTTTTCAACACTATATATAAATATATATATATATATATATAAAATATATTTATATTTTTCTTTATATATATATTTTTTTTGTACTTTTAAAATCTATTTTAATTTAATTTCTTTTCTGCCTTTAACATATTTTAGAGGTTTTTAATTGACAAAAAAAAAACACTTAGACGAAAAAAAATGGAGGGAAAACAATAAGGGCTATTTATCATTTCTTTGCTTTACAAGTTTTATAATGTACTTCTTTCCAATGACGTTCCTGACATTCTTTCGAACAATAAAATGCCTCTTGGCAATTTTCGCAAGCGCAAATTCCATCTTTTTTACATTGAAAACAAAAATACTTTTCTTCGTCATTTGTTGAATCGTCGGATAATTCATTTTTAACATCACTTGACAATGTGTTCGAATTTTGAACCTCATTGACAGGGGAATGTTTAATTGTCTTCATATTCGACTGATTTTCAACTGATAATGATGATGATGATGATGATGATGATGATGATGATGATGATGATGATGATGATGATGATGACGGTTCATTGGTAAAATTTTGTAATTTTCCTCCCAAGTGTTCGACAAAATTTGATGTACGCGATTTAGTTTGTGCGTTTTGTGGCGAAGTCGTTTCTTTTGAAGTACTCTTCCTTGTATGCTCATTCTTTTCTTTATTATCATACGTTATATTTGATTTTGTGATGTTTTTCGGTGACTTTGTCTCTGTTGACGCTGATCTACTCTTCTGCGCATGTCTATCTTTTTGCGCATGCTTCTGCGCAGGAGATTCTGCCTCATTTGACGCTGACCAACGCTTCTGCGCATGTCTATCTTTTTGCGCTTCCTTCTGCGCAGGAGAATTCGTCTCTTTGGATGCTGACCTGTTCTTCTGCGCATGTTTATCTCTTTGCGCATCCTTCTGCGCAAGCGATGTGATGTTTTTCGGCGAATTTGTCTCTTTTGACGTTGATCTACTCCTGTGCTCATGTCTATTTTTTTGCGCATCCTTCTGCACAGGAGATTCCGTCTGTTTTGACACTGACCATCTATTCTGCGCATGCTTATCTCTTTGCGCATCCTTGTGCGCAAGCAATGTGATGTTTTTCGGCGAATTTCTCTCTTTTGGCGTTGACCAATTCTTCTGCGCATGTCTATCTTTTTGCGTATCCTTCTGCGCAGGAGATTCTGTCACATTTGGCACTGACAAAATTTCCCTTACTTGCGCATCACTCTGCACAAGTGATGCTAGCCATTTTTTTCGCAATTGCGCTTCCTTCTCAGAAGCCGTTTCAATTCGTGCGTACTTTGGAGAGTGACCTTCGTCTATTGTGGATGAACGACGTTTTTGCTCCTTTTGATTAGAATGTTTTTGATCATTCCCATCTTTCTGTGGACTCTTCTCAGCAATAGATTGCGTTCTTGGTATTTTTGGATCGTCCACTTTTTCATTTGTTGATGATTGACGTTTGTGCGCTATTCGTTTTCTAGGTCCACGTCTTGGCGTGTAGTCATACATTGATGTTGTTGGCTTAAGAGATTCTTTTTCTCCCTTCTTCTGAGTTTCCTCAGAAGATTGTGCGCTATTTTCTTTTTGCACGTCCTCCAACGATTTTGTCCCAGCGATTATTGGAGAAAATTTCTTGATTTGATGTGGCATTTCGTTGGATTTACTTTTATTTGACACAATCGATAGGGGAACAACTCTTGGAGGGAATGACGATCTTTTACGCATCAATAATTCGTTATTACGGTTTAACGATTGAATGAATTGTCGACTTGATGTGCTTGGTAGTAGTGGAAGATTTTTTTCGGAAATAGGAGAAGTATTGTTTGAGGATGTTTTTTTCTCCGGAGTGATAGCGGTGATTATTGGCATATCGGAAGTTGCTCTGTTGGGAGAGAGATTTCTCGTCTCATTGGAGATTGTCGGCATATCGGAATTTAGAATAGAAAAATTATCCCGATTGGAAGACATTTTGTTGGGAATTTCGTCGATAATTACTGGCATCGAAAGTACATCAGGTGTCTCTGATTGCGATTCAGTGGTGGGTTTTATCTGCGAAATGCCAGAAGACGTTGGATTTGTTTCGGTAGAAATCGCTGGCGATGGATTTTTTTCTGGAACAGTAGAATTTGTACTAAAAACATCGGTTGAAATAGCTAACGAATCTTTTCGCGGTGTAACAGTTGATGAATTTGTAGAAACTTCGGTAGAAGTCGCTGGCGATGGATCTTTTCGCCGTGTAGTAATAGAAGCTGATGAATTTGTTCCCGAAACGTTTGTCAGGTTAGCGTCACTAGATATCGTTGGCATAGAAGTCGTTGACGATTGATTTTTTCCCGAGGTAACGGTAGATATCACTGGAGATGGATTTTTCTCCGAAATAACGGCAGAGACCGTCGAAACTGATGAACTTATCCTCGAGACGCTGGTAATTATTACTGGTGATGTTTTTGTCAATTCGGTAGCTTTAGAAATCGTTGGCGAAAGTCGAAGAGTAATGGTAGAAATCCCTGGTGATGGAATTTTTTGCGGCGTGGCAAAAGAAGTCGCTAAGGAATTTGTCAGCGAAATATTAGGCGACACTGATGATGGATTTATCCTTGGAACTTCGGTAGAAGTTAGTAATGGACTTATTCCTTGAGTCGGAGTGTTATTCACAGTAGAAGTCCCGAACGATAAATTCTCCGGCGGCACCGATGAATTTATCCGCGAGACACTGGTAATCGTTACTGGTGACGATCTTGATAAAGTTGTAGAAATCGTTGATGAGGGATTTTTCCCCGCCGTAGGAATTGTTGCCGATAGATTTTTTCCCAATGAGATAGTAGAATTCGGTGATGATCGCGCCAGTCTAACGATTGGCGGATTTATCCTTGGAACGTAGGTAGGAGACACCGGTGGATGAGTAGATGATACTGGTGGTAAATTTGGACTAACGTTTCGCGTCACTGGTTGCATTAGTATTCGCGGAATAGTTAGTGATGGTCGGCGTCTTGGTGTTATCGATGCGGCACCAATAGTCATCACTGGTGATTGATTTTTCGCTTCAGTAGAAGTCACTAATGGTGAGCTAGAAAGACTTCCTGGTGGTAAATTCGCAACGTTAGTTGTATATCCTGAACTAATGTAGGATTGAGTTATTGATGACACGACTCTTGTGATTGTAGGACCGGAATCAATGATAGGTGCACGTTTTGACATTCCGGGAAGCATTTTTGTAATTGTTACACTGGAATTAGTAAACGCTGGTGGTGGAATTTGTCCAGAATTTATGGTTCTTTCTGTCGGGAAGACAATGGTTCGAAAATTTCGTGACATATTTTGTCGTTCGACAACGACGGGAATTGGTGGTGGTGGTGGTTGAGGTGGGTTCCTAGTGACAACGACCGTTGATACCATTGGCGATGTTAGGCTTGGTCGAACGACAACCGTGGGATTTTGTGTCATGACAGTTGATATCACGGGTGTTTGGTTTGTTGGCACGACAACGGTTGATAATAAAGGCTGATGGTTTTGCATCATCATGGGATTTGACCCGAGGAAGACATTGGATTGCGGATGCGGCGATATGACGACAGTTGACAACGGATTCGGTGGAGGAATTTGCAATGGCGGTTGATCCATTAATGTTAGTGTAATTGGTATCATAACTGGCACGGCGACCGTTGTTTCCACCGGCATAACTTTGGGAATTGTTTCAATTTCTCTTTGAATGACGGAAATTTGATTCGTATCGGTCGTTACTACTTGATTCGAAACTGAGGCTTCCTCTGATTCTGTAGAATTCGAAACCGAAACTGGTCCATCAGTTGAATTTTCAGATTGATTTTGAATCGTAGAATTTTCGACGCTGGATGTATTTTCTCCACTTGGTGTTGTTTCATCGCTAGGTGTATTTTCGACTCTAGATTCCTCTACGACACTAGTTGTTGGATTCTCAACATTCGTTGGGGGTTTTACAACAGTGATAGACTTCTCAACAATCGATTTTAGATTCTCAACCGTTAGTTTCGATTTTTCCAAAATGAAATTCATTTCATCGAGGCTTAAATTAGTTCCAGCGACAATTGACCTCTCGCCAATTATCTTAATTTCTTCTTCCTCTTCTGGTTTTTTTGGTTCATTTTCCTTTTCCTGTCCCTTTTTCTCCATTAACGAAAACATTTGCCTAGTCCATGTTTCATACTTCTCGATAATCTTCCTGTAGTCTTGACATTGATTTTGAAATATTTTATACTGCTCGCTAGTTAGACCAAATTGTTCCCGAACCACCGGTGAATTTGTCAAAGGATTATCAATCACTTGGTTAACAATTCGCTGATTGAAATTTCGTTCGTTGGAAACAATTGGTTCGGTAACAAATTGCTGATTGACATTTCTTTGAATTGGTATTGGATAGGCACTCTGGGAATTGGTGAGAAATTGTTGAAGGAGATTCGATTGCGGTAAACGCAAACAAATAATATAATTCAATTCCTCTTTCTCTAGCATTGGATTACTTGTCATTGCTGAATAGGAATCTAAAATAAATTTCATTTTACGTTCTTCGCAGGGTATCTTGAGGAAATTGGCGACATTTTGTATATTTTTATTTATAAGCAAATTGTGTTGTTTCAAGTCAGGTGAACACATACCCAATGGACGATTATAATATTTTTGACGTAATGCAATTGTATTCAGTGAAATTTCGTGTAATAATTTTGTTAAATCATTGAGAGCTTTTTTGAAACCCTCAGTTGAATATGGTGTAACGAGGGGTTTAACGTATGCCAATAAATCACGTTTAGCTTCTTCGGCACGATGATGTGCAATTGAATTAGTTGCAAATAATGGTCTTAATGTATCGTCCAATGATTTGGCGGAAATTTGCGGTCTCAATGTTGTGGGATTTAGACGATATTGTCTTGAAGATTTTTGCGTTGGTTTACGAGGATTTACAATTCTCGGAGGATTATTAGGTGGATGCCAATAATTTGTTGGTGGTGGTCCATATTGTGGATTATTTAAAGTTAGTGGATGATTCGTTGACATTGGAATTATTCGAGGACTAAAATTTGGAATTTGAAGATTAGGATAAGGTGGAGGTAAACGTTCAGTTATTTGTTGCATATGTGACAATGGATAATTCATTGGTTGTTGGGGGAGAATTTCCTGTCGTGGTAGTGGTTGTTGCTTTTCTGGTTGTAGTGGCGGTTCTTCCGCTTGTACTGGAGTTGGACACCATCGAGGACAACCAAGTTCACTTGGATGTTTGACGCGTAATTTTTGAACGAAAACTGGTGATTCGGTGTTTTCACTGATCGTTGAATTGGGTTCAACAGTTGGTATTGAAGAATTTGGATTTTGGATTTTTGTCGCTGAATCTTCTTTTGTCGAAAGATTTTGAGGATTATTCCTTAATTCTTTGGTATTTTTCTTCGAATCTTCTTTGTTGGTTTCAAATTCTTTAATGCAGTGCGGAATTGGAGAATTTACAGTTTCTTTGGTGTTTTTCCCGAAATCTTCTTTATTAATTACCACTTCAACTTCAGGATTTTGAAGATTTTTCCCCGAATCTTTTTTGTCAATTTCCAATTCTTTTGCTGTGACAGGATTTTGAGGATCCTTTCTAGTTTCTTCGGTATTTTTTTCAAATTCTTCAACTCTGACAGAATTTTGAGGTATTTTGATGAGTTCTTGAGGATTTTTTTTTGATTCTTCAGTATCTTTTTTACCAGTTTCTAATTCTTTTACTGTGAGAGGATTTTGAGGATTCTTTTTAGTTTCTTTGGTGTTTTTCCCCAAATTTTCGTTATCAAATACAAAATTTTCAACTCCGAGAGAATTTTGAGGATTTTTTCTAGAGTTCTCGATATTTTTCGCCAAATCTTCTGTATCAATTTGAAATTCTTCGACCGCGACATCTTCTCTCGTGAGATGTTTCATTAGACTTAAATCCTCATTGGTACGTATTAAATTTTCCATTGTTTTATGAAGATCTTCATCGAATTTTTCTGCTTCTGAATTTTTTATCTCCTCCGATTGTTGATCTGACTTTTCGCGTTTTCTCTTCAAATTTTCGTTATTTTTATCTCTGCTTATATTAATTTTCTCACTATTAGGAAGAATTTCGTGACTTCTAATTCGTAGCTTGTTGGAAATTTTCTTCGATTCTATGGAAATATCGTTATTTTTGTTCGAAAGCAGATTTTTCTCTTTTTCTTCTTCGTCGTTGTCAATTGTAATAACTAAATTTTCAGATTGGATTTTCTTCACCTCCTGTTTAGGAATAATTAAATTCTCGTCAATTATTTCTAATTCACAATCGGAAATATTTGTACTACTATCGGGTAAATGAGATTCTTGATGAGATAATGATTTTTCGTTGATATTTTTGGATTTTTTATTTATAATTTTCCATTGTTCGTTTGAAGTTAATTCGGAATTAATTTCATCAATTGGACATTCAATTTCAGTTGAATCGGGACTTTCGGTATCGCGTAAACATGGCGAATAATCGCTAACATACGCACCTGAATCGTACGAATCACAGGATTTAAATTCACGTCGTTTTGGATAATTTTCAATTGATTCACGTTTTTTCTGATAAATAATTGAATGTTCTTTAGTAAAAATTTTATCAATTTTTTCAAGATGTACGGAATTTTCATTTGAATAAGTTTCATAATTTTTTTTATAATTAACCGAAATATTGTTTTCAAGAATTTCATCAATTTTTCTACGATGAACAGTAATTTTCTTCGCGGAAATTTCATCAATTTTTTGATGATTAACGAAAATTTTCTTTGCTGAAATTTCATCAACTTTTTGTAGATTAACGGAAATTTTTTTTGCGCAAATTTCATCAATTTTTTGATGATGAACGGAAATTTTCTTCGAGGAATTTTCATTAATTTTTTCAAGATGAACGAAATTTTCGTTCATGGAAACTTTATCAATTTTTTGATGATTAATGGAAATTTCATTCACGGAATTTTCATCAATTTTTTGATTATTAACGGAAATTTTTATCGTAGGAATTTCAAGTTTTTGTAGATTAATGGAAATTTCCTTTGCCGAAATTTCATCAATTTTTTCAAGATGAACGGAATTTTCTGTCGCGGTAATATCATCAATTTTTTGTTGATTAACGGAATCTTTCTTCGAGGAAATTTCATCAATTTTTTGTAAATTAACAGAAATTTTTTTCGCTGAATTTTCAACAATTTTTTCAAGATTAACGGAATTTTCGTTCGCGGAAATATCATCTATTTTTTGTTGATTAACGGAAATTTTATTCACGTAATTTTCATCAATTTTTTCAAGAAGAACAGAATTTTCGTTCATGGGAACTTCATCAATTTTTTGATGATTAACGGAAACTTTCTTCATGGGATTTTCATCAATTTTTTGAGAATTAACGGAAATTTTTATCGTAGGAATTTCAAGTTTTTGTAGATTAACGGAAATTTCCTTTGCCGAAATTTCATCAATTTTTTCAAGATGAACGGAATTTTCTGTCGCGGTAATATCATCAATTTTTTGTTGATTAACGGAATCTTTCTTCGAGGAAATTTCATCAATTTTTTGTAAATTAACAGAAATTTTTTTCGCTGAATTTTCATCAATTTTTTCAAGATTAACGGAATTTTCGTTCGCAAAATTATAATCAATTTTTAGAGGATTAACGGAAATTTTTATCGTAGGAATTTCTTCACATTTTTGATGATTAACGGAAATTTTATTCGTTAAAATCTTATCATTATTTTTCTGATCTGGAATTTCAGTCTTTTGATTAGAAATTGAGGAAATTTCACTTTTTTGATGAAATTGATGAAGGGCAATTTCTTTTGGGGGAATTTTAATTTTTTTCACATCAACTGAAATTTTTTCTTTTTTTTGTTCATCTTCTTCGTCTTCTTTTTCTTCTTTGTCTTCTTGTTTCATCGAGGAACTTTGATTTAATTTCAATGAAATTTTATTACCATCATCAGGAGACAATGAATTATTTTCACTATCAATTTTTGGCTTAATTACTAAATTTTGTTCATTACCTTTGGATATCTTCCCAGCAGTCTTTTTAATAATTAAATACTTTTTTCTATGTAATTTTTTCATTTGTAATTTATCAACAATTAACGAATGTTTTGTACTATTTGTCGATTTTGTTTCTTTTGTTAAATTTTCAATTTTTCTTCGTTTTTCACTTTTTGATTTTCTTTTGTCACGTTTTCTTTTTTTCTCATTATCAACATTATCATTATCAGCCTTGTGAATTTTACGCGATTTTTTTTCAATAAAATATTTTTTCTTGTGTAATTTTTTAAAATTACTACTTGTTTTTGCCGTTGGTTCCGCGGATTTTGAAGAAAAGGATTTTTTACATTTTACATCAATGTTGTTATTATTAAGAGACGGATTTTTTTCATTGTTTGAATTTTTTTGAAAATTTAAATTACATGAATTTTTTTCTTCTTTTTTTCTTGTTATATTTTCTCTTTTTGGTAAATTATTTTGATAAATTAATTTTTCTTTTATTTCAATTTCACTTTTCGTTAAATCAATGTTAGTTTGTGTAACAATTTTTCTTACCGGTAAATTGTTATTTGCAAAATTTGTTTCTTCTTTCGCGTCCTTTTCATTTGTGGTTAAATCGATGAAATTATTGTAACTCGATGTTGTTGGTAAAGACGTCAATGAATTGATTGACGTCTTTTCTAATGATGATAAATTGACATCCATTTTAGAATCGTTGACATTTTCCTTGACTTTTGATTTCGAATGATTCGATATCCTCTTTAAATATCTATAAAATAGAATAATTTTTTTTTTTTTTAAATGAAAAGAAAAAGTGAAACAATGGTTAAATCAAAAAATTAACTTTTCAATTTAAAATTAAAATTACAAAATAATAAAACAACAATAAATAAATTTATTTTAAAACACAGAGAAAAATTAAAATTGAATCGAAAATTTTTAAATATTGAAATTAAAAATTAAATAATTTTTATTAAAATTCAAATTTTAGATAAAGATAAATTTTTAAAATAAAATAAAACTAGAAAAGGGAAAATTAATTTTTGTTTAAAACATTTGGAATGTAATAAAAATTTTTAGTTTAAAAAAAAGTAATAAATATTTAATATTTGTTAAATTTAATTGAAAAAACGTAATTTATTTATTTAGAAAAATACACATGAAATTAGAATGAAATAATTTTCATTATTGAATTTTTATTGTTAAATTTTAATTATAAAATTTTTATTATTAAATTTTAATGATTAAATTTTAATTAAAATTAAAAATTGCATAAATAAAAAAAAAACATGAAAATTAAATTAATAAGAAAATTTTAATTGAAAATAAGAGAAAAGAATTTCAATATTTTTTTTTTAAATATAGCAAAATTTTATTTTCAGGACAAACTATTATTTTATTTTATTTTATAAATAATTCTTATAATTAATTATTTTATCATTGTTTTTTTTTCGAATTTCACAATATTATTTCTTACGTATTCTCATAATTTTTGTGAAGTCGTTCCATTGACACTGAACATCTTGACATCAATTGAATCAAAGCGCCACAAACTTCGCTTTTTGATAATCCAATCAATTCGAGATCTTTTTTCACCTAATAACCAAAAAAAATTAAAAATATTATTAAATTATCTTCCCCCTTTTTGTTTATTTAAAAATAATATTTAATTTTATTTCTTCAAATTTTTTACAAAATATAAATAAATAAAAAAATGTTCATATTAAAATTAATAATAAAAAAGTGAAATATTAAAAATAATTAATTTACTCGATTAAAAGTTATTCAATAATAATACCTACCTAAATAATAAAATTTAAAAAAAAAATTAATATTTATAATTTATGTAGAAAATTATAAAATTACAATTATTAAAGATTATTAAAAAAAACTAATATTTTACTAAAATTAGTTAATTAATTAATTATTCAATTTCTGTACAAAAGAGAAAATTTTCAATTCTTTTTTTTTTTTAACTGTTTGAAATATAATTGAATATTTTTTAAAAAATAAAATTTTAAATTCGTAAAATTTTGAAAAATTGAAATATTTTTTTATTAACAATTTTTTTTTTAATACAAAATTTTTATTTTTTTGTAAAAATTTGTAAACTTGTAAAAAATTTTTTGTGAAAGGAAATTTTTTTTTTACAATATTAAATAATAATTAGAAAAAAATTATAGTGTATTAAATTTTTTTTTGTTTTATAAAAAAAAAAGTGAAATAAAAATTTTTTACAGAAAAAAAGAAATTTTACTTTCACTAAAAGTTTCGTGTTTATTTATTTATTTTTTTTTTGGAAATAAGTAGAATGCAATCTTATATAAATATAGATGTATAGATTAAAATAAGAATAGAATTTTAGGTCGCCATTCTACTACAAATTTTTTTCTTCAAGAAACTAAAAATAATCTGAATTTTTTTTTTCTCCGAAATTGAAATTTTTTTTTTTTTTTTTAAATAATACATCTACAATTTATTGAAAGAAAACACGTGTAACTTGAGCATTTATCTCTTTGTTTTTAGTAATGGAATATATACACATAGAAAAATTATCAAACACGTAAATTATGTGAATCAAGCGAAAAATATACATAGAGTAAAAAAGCACAATTAAAGAGAGAAAAAAATTAATAGTATAGTATATGGAGAAAATAAATTTTTTTGTTTTGCCAAAAAAATAAATTTGACAAATATTTACAAAATGGAAAGAAAATGTAAACAAATTTTTGTTAATATTAAACAAAAAAAAAATTTCGATATACATAACCTAAAAATTCTTACCTTTTGTAGAAATTTCTGCCTTCGTTGTGGTCCCATTTCTTTAAGCCATTGTTTTAAAATAAAATTATCCAATTTTCTAGCTAAATTTGTATTATTGCTAGTGGACATATTTTTTATTTTATGTTTTCCTAAAATTGAAAACAAAAACGCCAATAAATGCCGCTAAAAAATTATTTTTAACTCGCATTTAACACTATTAATAACAACACGTTATTAAACACAAAAACTGTTTTTTCAACACTCTCTTTTTCTTCAAATTTTTATGCGGAAGACATTTCACATTTTTTTTCTATTTAATAAAAAAAAAAAAAAAAAACAGATCGAAAATAATATTTATTTTTTTAATAAAACATTTTTATCCCTACACTTTCCCTCTCTCTCTCTCTCTCTCTCTTTGATGTTTGCTATATAAAGGCTTTTTATTTGTGTCGCCATTTTGTTTTCCTCTATGTGCGTACGCAACTATTTTCTCTAGGGGAAATTTTTTTTGAATTTTTTTTTTTTTGTAAATAAAAGAAAAACACTTAAAAATTATTTATGAAAGTTTATTTAAAAAAAAGATTTTTTCTACTAATTTTTCTTTAGACAATAATTAATTGAACTTTTTTTTTTTAATTCGAATTTTCCCACGTTCTCTCGGTGGTTGAATTTGGAACTAGTTCTATACCCAGAATTCATTGCGCTTCTTGTTTAATGGCCGCCTAAGTTAGTGTTAGAAGAAAATTCGGGGAGTATATTATCCAAACAGCCGGGGGTGTAAATTATAATATTTCTTTTATTGTGAACATATTTTTAATTTAAAAAAAAACAACTAAATAATGTTAAAAAGACTTTATTGTTAATTACTTTTAAATTATTTGAATTTAAAATTTAGTTCGTTGGAAAAAAAAACTCTACGATCAGAAGAGTTTGTTTTCTCATTCTCACGGAAGTGTTCGCGTTTTTATTCTCAAAATTAAAAGTTTTCTTTAAATTTTCATTTTGCTTAAAAAAAAAAAAAGAAAGAAAAAACTCAATTTCTCCTTGAAACGGAGAAAAGAAAATAGAAAAATGAGTTCAAATAATGTTCAGGCATTGTTTGCCTGTTCGAGATGTTTTTCACGACATCCCTTCGAGGAATTATCACCAGGACAACAACTTTGTAAGGTAAGTGATTTTTTTTCTCTATAGTAATTTTCTTATTTTAGAAATAATTTTTGTTTTTGGCTTTATATGAATAAGAAATTCAAAATTTGAGCATTTTTTTTCTTTTCTTTTTTTTTGAGGTTAGGTAGCGCGTGATGTACAATTTTCACACACTTATATATATCTTTTTGATCAATATTGACAGTTTTTATTTTTGGAACAATGACGTGGTTTTTGAGATGCTTTAAACAAAATATTGTTTTTACGAATTAAAGAACGTCATTTCATGATTGCGCGTTTAAAATTTAACGTTATAGACAAAAAAAAAAAATAATAATAATAATAATAGCAAATTTATAATAATTAAGGCCATTCAAATTTAATGAAAAATATATTTTAATTACTGAAAAATGTATTTTTAAAATTATGAATTATGCTTCCGTATTAAGTAATAATTTTGAATAAAATTTAAAAAAAAAGGAACGAATTATTTTATAATATAATAAATTAATAATTGTGATAATAATTTTATTGAAAAAATAAAATATTTTATTACGTAGAATTATTTTTAAGTTATTGATTTTTTTTTACCGATTTTAATTATAAAATATTTATTTGCAGCAAGAAAATGGGTTTTAATATTAATAATTATTAAGTAATAATTATACTAAATAGTAATAATTATAGGCCTTGGATTGTACGACTTTTTCGACTATTTCCGACTTTTTTTTCAAAAATACGACTTTTTTTACATTTATAAAAATTTTATTTAAATAAAATACGTTTTTTTTTTAGTCTAAAACTCAATTCTTTTCAAAATTTTCAATTCAAAATCAACTAAAATTAAATAATTATCCTAAATTTCAATTTAAAATTAATTATTATAAAAATTTTCAATCAAAAATCAACTAAAATTCAATTATTTTCTAAAATTTTAATTAAAATTTAATTATTTTCCAAAATTTCAATTCAAAGCAACTAAAATTTAATTGTTACCCAAAATTTGAATTAAAAAACAATTAAAATTCAATTATTATCAAAAATTTCAATTTAAAATCAGGGTGTCTAACGGTCAGGGAAAGTCAGGGAAATGTCAGGGAATTTCAGAAAATTTCATTCAAAGTCAGGCAATTTCTGTAAATTTTTACAAAAATTAAAATTTTTTGTGAATTTAAAAATTTTTTAATCTAAAAAAACTTGAATGGTTTTTATTACCATTTGTTACTATTATTAGAAATTAATTTATTGTTAAATATGTCAGTAACGATATTTTTGTCCAAAGAAAGCAGAAATAAGGTTATTAAAAAGTCAGGGAAAAATTAAAAAATGTCAGGGAGAAGTCATGGAAAAGTCAGGGAATTTTTTTCTCAATCCTTGTTAGACACCCTGAAAATTAATTATTATCAAAATTTTCAATTAAAAATCAACTAAAATTAAATCATTATCCAAAATTTCAATTAAAATTCAATTATTTTCCAAAATTTCAATTCAAAATCTTTTAAAATTTAATTATTTTACAAATTCTCAATTTAAAATTAAATAAAATTCAATTATTTTCCAAATTTTCAATTCAATATCAACTAAAATTCAATTATTCTAAAAATTTAAATTAAAAATTAATTATTATCAAAATTTTCATTCAAAAATCAAATAAAATTTAATTATTTTTCAAAATTTCTATTCAAAATTAAAGAAAATTCAATTATTTTTAAAATTTCAATTCAAAATCAAAGAAAATTCAATTATTTTAAAAAATTTTCAATTCAAAATCTTTTAAAATTTAATTATTTTCCAAATTTTCAATTAAAAATCAACTAAAATTGAATTATTGTCTAAAATTTCAATTGAAATTCAATTATTTTCAAAACTATGAATTTAAAAGCTTCTAAAATTTTCTATTCAAAAAGTTTTTGAAATTTAATAATTTCAATTATAACTCTATGGAAATTCAATTATTTTTAAGTATTTTTATAATATTCTTTAAAAATTTAACTATCTTGAAACCATTTTTAAATTAAAAATGGTTTTTAAATTATTGTATTTTTGTCCGTAATTTCTAATAAATTTTTTTAGTGAAATCATCAAAAAAAATTTTAATTAAAAATTACTTGAAGTTCAAAATTAATTTCAAACATCTCAATTGTAAATCTTTGAAAATTCAATTACATTTCAAAAATGTTATCTAAAATTATTTGACAAATTATTTTTAGTTCTGTAAAATTTAATTATTGTCTGAAAATTAACAAAATCTTTTCAAATTTAATTATTTCTAAAAATTTTCAACTTTAACCTTTCCAAAATTATTATTATTTTAATAAAAAATTTTATTTAAAAATCTGTAAAATATTTTTGTTAAAATAAAAAAAAATAGACTTTTTCGATTTTTTTTGAAATATAAATCGACTATAACGACTTTGGGGTGCATGAGTATCTCATAAAAATTATTAGTGAGAATTTTCATTTTCAACAATTTCGTTACATATAATTATTTTTTACACGAATTTTCATTTTTCAAACTAATATTTGTCAGAATTTTTTTTTTTTAAAGAATTTTTAATTAACAGAATTCTTATGGAAATTTTATTTGGCAGAATTCTTAAAACGCCGAATTTTCATTTGTCCGAAATTGCAAATGGCCGAACAAACAATCGATTTTGGCGCGATTTTTAAAATAAATCATATTTTAAAAATCGCGCCAAAATCGATTGTTTGTTCGGACATTTGCAATTTCGGACAAATGAAAATTCGGCGTTTTAATAATTATGTACCATAAAAATTCGATATATAAAAATTATGTTAAGTAAAAATTTGTTTAAAAAGTAATTTTGTCAAATGTTAATTGAAAAAAGAAAAATTCGTCTAAAAAATAATTATATCTACTAAAATTTTTAAAAATGAAAATTTTAACAAATGATTTTTATGGGATAATCATGCGCCCCACGACTTTTTTTTGTGCCTTTAAGTCGATGCGAGGCCTGTAATTATTAAATATTAATAATAACTAATTAGTAATAATTATTAAATAACAATAATTACTAAATACTAATAATTATTATATTATTATATATTTTTTTTTTTATTTTTTTGTAGGAAAATTTATTTGAAAATTGATAATCGCAAATGAGATAGTATTAATAAAAAAAAAAAAAATATATCTGTTCGTATAATTATTTTTAATTTCACAATCAAGAAAGAGAGAAAGAGAGAGAATCAAATGTCAATTGATTGAAAGACGCCAAGTTTCTTCTGAAAGCTTTTATTATTTCTTAGGAATGTCGAGGAACATTTCCGGTAGTCAAATGTACCTATTGTCGATCGGAATTCCAGCAGACAGTGTAAGTTCAAAATTTTTATATTAAAACAAATCCTTTAGGATCATCATTTTTTTTTGAATTATTATTAATTTTTTTTTCTATTTCATTTATTTTTCTACCAATTTTATTTATTTTTCAATTAAATTTTTTTCCCCTCTCTAAATTTGAATTATTGGGGATTTTTTAATTATAATTTTTAATAAAATATTACTATTTAATTTTTTGTAATTTTTTTTTTCACTGAAATTTTAGGGGAAAATTACTGAAAATTAGAAATTTTTAATAAAAAAAAAAAAAAAAACTAAAAAAAAATTAGTAGAAATTTAAGAATTCTCTCTTATTTCAAATTTTTGTTTAATTTTGAAAAGATAATCTTTTTTGATGACTGTTTTGATGTTTTTTTTTTTTTTTTGTTTTTGCAGAAAAGGAAACACGAGCACAATTTGTAAAAAATGCGAGCAAAATGTGAAATCTTATGGAAAACCATCGGCTTGCGAATATTGTAATACAATTGCGGCCTTTATTGGCAGTAAATGTCAGCGTTGCACAAATTCTGAAAAACGATATGGACCGCCAGTGACTTGCGAGCAATGCAAGCAAAAATGTGCCTTCGACCGACAAGACGAAGACAAAAAGGTAAAAATAGAAAAAAAAATGGACTAAATTTTTGAAAAATTCAACAAAAATTTTGAAAAAAGTCAATTCTAGATAACAAAAAAAAAATGTTTAAATTTAAATTCATTTAATAATAAGAATAATAATTGTATGTAAATAATTATAGTAATTGTAATAATAGAGAAAATATATAGTAAATAATAATAGTAAGAATGATGGTAATTTAGATTATAAGGCTAAATAATAATAAATATTTAAAAAAAAAAAAAAATAAATTATAGGTGGATGGAAAACTTCTCTGCTGGCTTTGTACGCTATCATATAAACGAGCGCTGGCAAAAACGAAGCAAACGGAATCGGAGAGAAGAGCACACTTGAAATTGGCTCAACAACGAGCCGCTAAGCACAAAGAACAAAAGTAATTTTTTTTTACCTACAAATTTTCTATTCTAATGATATATATATTTGTTTTTTAATTACAGGTAAATAGAAACAAATATAAAATGAACATTCCACCATAGGTGGAATAAATAAAGCTACAAATGTTAATTTTTTAGAGATGCATTAAATTCGCACACAAAAATGTTGTTATAATTTTTAAAGCGTCGATTTTGAAATAATAAAAACTCAATTTATTTGAATTTTATAGAAAAAAAATTTTGAAACTGAATTTTAAAAAACGAAGAATTTTTATTTAATAGAATTTCTATTTATACGAACTTTTATATAATAAATTGTGTAAGTTCATTGAATTTTCATTCAATACAATTTTCAATTTAACAGAATTTATATTTTACAAAATTATTTATAAAGAAAATAATTTTAATGTAACAGAATTGTTCATTAAGTAAAATTTTTTACTTAATCAAATATTCACTTAATAAATATTTTGATGTAACTAAATTCAAAATTTCAGATTCAACATAAGTAATTTATATTTAACAAAACTTTTTTTTATTTAAATTTTAATTAAACAACTTTTATTTAAACGATTCTCTATTTTGCACAATTCTTATATAATATATATATATATATATATATATATATATATATATATATATATATATATATATATAAATAAATAAAAAAAATAAATAAATAATATAAATTTCTAGTTTAGAGAATTTTTATATGAAAGAATTTTCATTTAATCGAATATTCATTTGATATCACTTTTATTTCCTCGAATTGTAATTTTGTAAAATTTAAATTCTATTAAATTGGAAATAGTTTTGAACAAAAATTCGATAAACTACACAATTTATCATATAAAAGTTGGAATAAATAGAAATTCCATTAAATAAAAATAGGACACATGATTATGTTCTAAAAATCATTAGTTAGAATTTTCATTTTATGGAATTTCATTTAATATAATTATTTTTCAGCCAAATTTTTATTTATTCAAATTGGTATTTTGCAGAATTTTCATCAAAACGATTTTCTATATTACAACATTTTTATATAATCGAAAATTCACTTCAAAGAATTTTTATTTACTCGAATTTTCATTTGACATAACAGGCATTTCAAAGAATTTTTATTGTGTAGAATTTTCATTTTATTCTTTCAGATGAATTTTCATTTGTTCGAATTATTATATGATATAATTTCCATATAATCGATTTTTCACACTAGAGAATTTTTAACTTAACCGAAAAATCATTTAACAGAATTTATAATTAAATAGAATTTTCATTTGTCCGAAATTACAAATGGCCGAAACAACAATCGATTTCGGCGCGATTTTTAAAATCAACAAATGAAAATTCATCTGAAAAAATAAAATGAAAATTCTATGCAATAAAATTTTATCCAATAAAAATTCTTTAAAATGCCTATTATGTTAAATGAAAATTCGAGCAAATAAAAATTCTGACAAATAAAAATTCTGTGAAGAAAATTTTTGGTTATACAAAATTTCTGTAATATAAAAAATCGTTTTGATGAAAATAATATTATGACCAACGAAATTCCAAACAAGGAAAATTCTATCTAATGATTTTTAGAACATAATCATGTGTTCCATAAGAATTCATTTCATTTAATTCTTCGATATCAAAATTCAGTTTCAAATTAAAGTTTTTTTTTTTTATAAAATTCCAATAAATTTATATTATTTCAAAATCAACGCTGCAAAAATTATAATCTGGAAATTATTTTTAACCGAATTTTAATGTTATTTTTCAATTATTATTTAACAGAAATTCCATTTAACTGAATTTTTATATTACCGAATTGTTACTTTAATGAATTTTCATATTTACTGAATTTTTATGTCATTGAATTTTTCATAAAGACAGAATAGTAATTTAAAAGAATTTTTTTAATTTACAAAAATGAAATGAATATTAAGAAAAAATTCTTTTCTTGACGAATTCTTCTTTTTTTTCGAATTTACATTTGACAGAATTTTCTTAAAACGCTCGAATTTTTATTTTATCGAACTATTATTTGTCCGAATAAAAATAAGTCGAAAAATATTGGCGCTAATTTCAAAATTTAATCATTCAAAAATTTTCGTTGATAACTTCTGATCGGTTAATTTTAAAAATTAGAGCCTAAATTTTTCTTCCCGAAATTTATTTGGACTAATTGAAAGTTCTGGTAAAATACAAATTCCAGCGTTTTAAGAATTCTGTAAAATTTTGTAAATTCAAACAAAAAATGAAAAGGATACAAAAAAATTATTATTCTGTGAAATTCAAATTCGATGGAATAAAAAATCGGTAAAATGAAAATTTTAAATAAAAATTCTGTAATTAATTTATTTATTTATTCAAGTAATATAAAAATTAATTAAAATTGTTATGTTAAATAAAAATTCGGTTAAATTGAAATTAAATAAAAAAAAATGTTTGCTTACATAAAAAAAATCTATGATACAGAAAATCGGTTTAATCGAAATTTTTAGACAAATTTTCATTTTTTGAATTATTTGACAGATATATATATATATATTTTTTTTTGTTAACAAATTTTTATTTTTGCAAAATATTTTGTTACCGTATTTTCAATTAGCAGAATTCTTATTTTACAAAGAAAAAACTGATTCACCGACAGAAATTATATACGAAAGAATAGTCACATCGCGACAACGAGAATACGAAAAAACAACTGATATCATTTTTATTTTTTCTCGCTTTTATATTCAAAATTTCATAGGGTCCTCTATAGGTAGTGAATAGAGTCATCGGGTTGCAGTCTACCCGATGACTCTACCCACTTAACTTAATTGCCTTTTTGATCTATTTCTTCGATTTCCCTAACAACACGCGTTTACTTTATATATATTCTTTCAATTTTTCTTCATTATAATAAATTTATCAAAAATATGTGACATATAGTTTTTTTCAATTTTGATGCATTATAATAGAAATTTGTCAAAAAAAAAGATGTGACATAAAATTTGAATTTTATTTATCATAAATTGAGGGTTTACATGCAATAAGAGGGGATACGCATGAAAGTGAAAGTCCCCGCGTAAAGCGATTCTGTGGCTGCACGAAGTGTTAACGAAAATCCTGCGCATCCTCTTATTGTATTTGAACCCTCAATAGTCAATTTACAAAAATGGGACGCATAATTATTCAACAAAAATAATTAATTAGAATTTTCATTTTAAAGAATTTTTTAAGAAATAATAATTTTTTTTTTTAGACAAATTTTCATTTTTCTAATTTAGCATTTGATAGATTTTCTTTTTATACAAATTTTTACTTAACAAAAATTTTTAGCTATCGAATTTTTGTCAGAATTTTTATTTTACAGATATTTTCTTTAAATGACTTTTTATTTAAAAGAATTTTAATTTAACAGAATTCTCATTCAAATTGAATTTTATTGTGATTCGAATTTTTAAATTGACAAAAATTCCAATTTTCCGAATTTTAAATTTGTTGGAATTTTTATTTTTGTACGAATTTTTAATTGATAGAAAAATTTAAGATGCCAAATTTTTCATTTGTCCGAAATTACAAATAGCCGAAAGAAATAATCGATAGAAAGATTTCTGTTCAATTTTTCGAAAAATTGATCAATTAGAAATTATCAAGAAAAATTGTCACTTAAAAAGATCTAATGAGAAATGTGTATATTAAAGGCTATAAAGAAATAAATAATTTATTTTAACTATTTTTTTCTAATAGATCTTGATACAATATTCTTATGAAGAAGTCTGTCTGTTAGAAAAAATTTACTTACGAAAAATCGTATTTTCCTTTTTTTTTTTGTATACAATAATCCTTTTTCAATTTACAATGATTTCCTTTCAACAATAATAATCTTTTCTCTAAATTGTCAATAATTTTCTTGAACAATAATAATCCTTTTTTTCTAAATTCACATTTTTATCACTTTTGTATAAAAATGCTTATTACTTTCAATACTTTTAATTAAATTTAAAAAGATAATAAACTAAATTATTCTTTGTTTTATTCTTTTTTTTTTGTCACTTATAAATTGTATTCAAATTATGTTTGAACGAAAATCAATCTAATAGACTGATTGTCTCGCCTCGAGACTCACGAAACTAAAAAGACTTCTCCTGTCGATCTGTTTTATTGAATGACAATTTAGTGGGGAAAATCCACGTTATGAGTTTATGAATTTTGTTACCAAGTTGATTTTTTTTTTGTCAACTTGCAATTTGAAAAAGGTGGTGTGTCTCCGAGTTGGATAACTCGAGTCCACCACACCTAGAGTTGGGCAATCTTAAACCCAACAAGCTCATAAGAGTGAACGAACTTGATTTCATCATTCGTTTAATATTAATCGAGGCTTCTTTTTTTAATTGGAAATCATTTCATTTTTTTTTTTTATTTTTATATTTTTATTAAATATTAAATATTAATTATTAAGAAACAAAGAATAAAAGAGATTTTAATAATATTAAAAATACAAAAGCGTTTAAAAGAGAGAAAATATGTGTGATGTATGTCTATGAGATGGTATAATGCAGGCCTCGGATTATACGACTTTTTCGACTTATTTTAATAAAATGCGACTATTTAGACTTTTTTTTACATTTTTTAAACAAATTTTTAAATAAAATATATTTTTTAGTATAAAATGCAGATCTTCTTCAGATCTTCTTTATTTCAATTATTTAACAAATTTTTAACTAAAATTAATAAAATAAATAAAAACAAACACAATCGGGAAGAAAGTCAGGATATATTTTAAGAAATTGTCACTCCTTTATAATATTATTATACATAGTTTTTCGACAAGTATAAAACACGGTCGACAAGCTTCTGCCCATCTCCTCTTATCGCTTTCCTTTAATCGGATATAATCGTCTAAATTCGTATTTCTCTTCGTCAAGTCATTCGTCATTTACCATCTAGCATTCGCATACATTACACATATTACAAATTCTTCACTAAATTAATTATTTTTAATAATTTTAATAAAAAT